CTTTTCTTAATTGACCAATTTATGCTATTCCTTGAGGGATCAATTATAAGAGTAAAATATTATAGTTAGTCAATCAATTATTTAGTAGTAGCAGTAAAGATTATGATTTTTCATACCAAAGATGTTAGAAATTCTTGTTCCACAGCATGATCAAGAAAAGACAACAATTTATCATAAAATCATTAACATTTAACAAACCTATGGGTTTATGGTGAATGTGCAGTTGGGCCTAAGAGGTAATATGAAAGATCTTTTCCAATGTGCTCAGACCACCTGATAAGGCAATGAAGGCATCAACGTATTTAAACATTGCATTCATTCGATTAGATATTGTGGAGACCTGTAATTCATCTCCAATTGTTTTTTTAATGATGTTTCCTTGTGCTAAAGCTTTGGGGATAACCCTCATAACTGGACTACCTCTTAAAAATACAGCTATTGATACTCTCTCCATTAACCTAAAGCTACTTCTCTTATACACTAAATGAATCTTTGTCTTAGCTAGTACCTGACCAAGATAATTTGCTGATTCTAAAAACTCTATTTCTTTCCCATGACTGGATCTACTAAAAACATAAACATTTCTTATATGATGACTTAAGAAACCTGCCATTTCTACACACACCTATATCTGTTAAATGTATGGGTTGAGTAGAAATGAAGGGAAGGAAGAAAATATTTTATAGATGAGAAATTGAAAATGCAATTATATCACTATATATAGACCAGCTAAAGTCTCACTCATTATCTCTTTTTTTAAAAAAAAACATGTGTATCTACAAGTAGTTGTGATTGTGGCTCATATTTTTCCTTGGTTTTACGTCTAAAAACGGCTTAAACGCGCCCTCTATAGGTCCGAGATATGCTTCCCATCTAGTTTTCTTAGAAACTAGCAAACATGGTCTTTTTTTAGTCAGATTCCCAAGACTATGTCAAGCATGTTCTTTATGAAACTGGGTCCATAAGTCATGAATTGTATGATGCATATCTCTACTATGATGAAACTTAAGAGTCAATAGAAGATTATCTAAAGACTCTCTATATTTTGAAATAAATCCCACCTTTTGACAATTTTCATAGGTTTTGCGTTCATGTAAGTAGTGTCATTAATTTTTTTCACTCTAAGGCATGTGGGAGTCATCTCTCATAAGAGAAAATGACTGCAAAAATCTTACAAAGTGAATTTTACTAGCTCACCATGTTTAAGGATGGACGAGTGAGTAACGTGTAAGAACCTGCCCTTGGGAAAGGAACAACAATTGGAAAAGGCTGCTAATACCCCGTAGGCTAAAGAGCAAAAGGAGGAATCCACCCAAGGAAGGGCTTGTGTTTGATTAGCTAGTTGGTGAGGCAATAGCTTACCAAGGCGATGATCAATAGCTGGTCCGAGAGGATGATCAGCCACACTGGGACTGAGACATGACCTAGACTCCTACAAGAGGCAATAATAGGGAATTTTTTACAATGGGCAAAAGCATGCCACGTGGAGGTAAAAGGCCTACGGGTCGTGTTGAAATAAATCCCACCTTTTGACAATTTTCATAGGTTTTGCGTTCATGTAAGTAGTGTCATTAATTTTTTTCACTCTAAGGCATGTGGGAGTCATCTCTCATAAGAGAAAATGACTGCAAAAATCTTACAAAGTGAATTTTACTAGCTCACCATGTTTAAGGATGGACGAGTGAGTAACGTGTAAGAACCTGCCCTTGGGAAAGGAACAACAATTGGAAAAGGCTGCTAATACCCCGTAGGCTAAAGAGCAAAAGGAGGAATCCACCCAAGGAAGGGCTTGCGTTTGATTAGCTAGTTGGTGAGGCAATAGCTTACCAAGGCGATGATCAATAGCTGGTCCGAGAGGATGATCAGCCACACTGGGACTGAGACATGACCTAGACTCCTACAGGAGGCAATAGTAGGGAATTTTTTACAATGGGCAAAAGCATGCCACGTGGAGGTAAAAGGCCTACGGGTCGTGTTCTTTTCCCAGAGAAGAAGCAATGACGGTTTCCATTGAAATAATCATAGAGAGATTAATTGTATAAATTATAAACAACAATAATACAATTAGTAGTAGTAGTCGTAGTAGTAGTAGTAGTAGTAATAATAGTAGTAGTAATAATAAAGAAGTTGATGAGAACTTGGAAATGGAAGATCAATGTGAGGATCAAATAATGATAAAAATAAAATGTTAAGGTTAGATGATTTACTAGTGATATTTCAAACAAGTATAGTATAAATTCTTTTTGCTACTCAACTAGAAACCACACACAAAAGGAGGTTCCAATGAGATTATATATTGTTAACATGATTACATTAGTTATCTTATTCAATTAATGCTAATACTTGTAAATCTCGTCAAGTATTCATGATTATAACTTATGTTAACAACAAATCATGTTCCTTTCATAGCACATGTGTCAGTTAAACCATATGGCTGGGTTATGAAAGTATTAAATATTTATTGTATTAAGTGTTATACAATATAAATCTAAACTAACCACTTAACAAAAAAAGTATTAAGAGTGAACAAGATAACAAATACAAAACATGTTAATATCAAACATTAAAGTCCATATTGAGTTTACACTATACTTATTCTTACATCATTAGTGTAACCTTTTTTCCTTAACATAATAAACTTAACTAAACATAATAAAAGAAGAAACATAAATAAACAAGATAAGAACATAAATAAAATAAAAGTTAACTAAGTAAAAGAAAGGAAATGAGAAGTATAAATAATAGATTAATATAAATAAAACTTAAGCATTGTAATAAAGAGAGAGAAAGCAAGAGCATGATCTTGATCTGGAAACTAAAATGCTTAAATGCATGACAAATGCCTATTTTTATAGGCCAAAATTAGGAACTATTGATTTAATGACTAATTGATAAATGGATGCAACTCTTGACTTAGTGACAATTCTTAACTTTTTATCTGTCAAAAACGTCATTGATAACATTAGAATTTGAGCCAACCTTCTTCATGAAAGTTATAGAAAATTATCTCAACTTTTCAGAAAAAAAAAATTGAGGTCATTTGGACTTCTAAAACTTGATCTATGGGTTGAACATTGAATAGTGTCTAGGCTGCAGGACAGATTTGGACTTCTACATTGTTGCTAAGTTTTGGACTTCTAAACAGCAAAATTGAGTCTTGCCTTTCCATGAAACTTTA